CCTTCCATTCCCCACCATCCAGTCAGAGCTGAAGAAGCTTCTTGGATGAGAAGCAAAATGTCTTCAAAGAAAAACAAGTCCAGTTGCCTCTTGAAAATGCACCTTTGGGATAGCCATGACCTGGATGACTGAGAATCTCCATAGACGCTGCATTAAAATACACTCTGTGGTATTGCATATGGCTTGGATAGATAACATTTCTGGTTCCATCCTTGTCACTGTCAATTTTCTTTGAAAAGACATTACACTATAAGTCCTAACATATCCAGTCAGCTATATTGATAGCTGTGCTGGCTAGAGATGGTGGGAAATGAAATCTCAACTGCACCAGTCAGTCAGGCCTGGTTATGCATAAACAAGCATACACATTCATAAGTGCACCGGCCCTGTATGTTTAAATAACACTGTTGGATCAAGCCAAGGATTCAGGATGCACATAGGCACAGTGATTTCATTAGACAGGGTGAACAGGTACAATAGAGCGTTTTGTATGACTGCAGCACAAAATGCCCCAAGTGTGATAATTAAGAGCTAACCAGAAGCTTCTGGGAATCTTGAAGCAAGGTGGCGATGACAGCTGATCTTCCACATTGTCCTCTTGGCTCCTAGCATGTGCCATAAAGAAACATGCCTTATACTGTACCATCACAAAAGGCAATAAAAATGACAACTGAGAGAGGGAAAGAGTGGGGAGGAGACAGAAAAGTAGCATTTCTGTTTTACCACCAGCAGTTAAGCAGCATCTTGATAGGGCTTTATTATGGCCATGGCCTATTAGCTACCAAGACATTCCAGGGCTGAATAGACAAGCATATTTTAGTCTCTAAATCATTTTTATAGGTTATAGGTTAGAAAAGTCTTTGCCTTTCTGCAATCCTGAATCCTGAACGATTCCCAGATTATGACACCTGTAGATTAGGTGAACAGAAAGTGCAAGTATGACTACCTCTATTAAAGCTGAAGTTTTAGGAGTTTGCTGGACTCCAGCATTGAGGTGTGTGTTAACACAATACCAAAGAGTAAAGACTTCAGCAATAATCTTAGAGAAGCAATTGTTGCTGCCCATCAATCTGGGAAGGGTTATCAGGCCATTTCCAAACAATTTAAAGTCAATCGTTCTACAGTAAGGAAGATTATTCACAAATGGAAAACATTCAAGACAGTTGCCAATCTTCCCAGGAGTGGACATCCCAACAAATTCACCCCAAGGTCAGACCATGCAATGCTCAGAGAAACTGCAAAAAATCCAAGAGTTACATCTCAGACTCTACAGGCCTCAGCATGTTAAATGTTAACGGCCATCTGTCCGACAGCTAAAGCTTGGCCAACATTGGGTCGTGCAACAGGACAACGAACCCAAGCACACCAGCAAATCTACAACAGGATGGCTGAAAAAGAATCAAGGAGTTTCAATGGCCCAGTCAAAGTCCAGACCTCAACCCAAATCAAATGTTGTGGCGGGAACTCAAGAGAGCTGTGCATAAACAAATGCCCACAAACCTCAGTGAACAGAAGCAATGTTGTAAAGAAGAGGGGGCCAAAATTCCTCCACGATGTGAGGGACTGATAATCATACCGAAAATGATTACTTCCAATTATTGCTGCTAAAGGTGGTTCTACAAGCTATTGAATCATAAGGCGACTTAGTTTTTCACACATGGCTTCTCCATTTTGGCTTTCTTTTTGTAAAATAGATGACATGGTGTAATATGTCATGTGTTGTTGTTCATCTGAGGTTGTATTTACCTACTTTTAACAACTGCTAAAGACCAGGTGATTTTTACTATGTCCTGATACGTAAAACCATAGAACTCAAAGAGGGTACACTTTTCCACGTGACTGTATATGCTTAGAACCAATAGGCAGTATCACTGTTAGGTAGGAAAGTGCATTTTTCTAGAGGGAGATTGTGAAAGGGATCTTGTCAGCAAAACAGGATATATATTATGGTGGAAGGCCAGCACCTTTGTTAGATCCTACCATAGAACAGTCATAAAGGCAGTTGTATTTGAAGGACTACACTGAGTTGTCGATATATGCATGAAGAGTATTCTGTATCAGTTGTGACAATTGAACTTCTATTAATGGTAGAAATGTGTCCAACTAGTGTCTCAAAGTCATGAGTTTTTCTCAAAATGTTGTTTCCATCACCTCGGCACTCACCTCCAGTTCTTTCCATCTGGAAACCATCTCCAGTGACTATGCTATATCCTGTGACCACAGTTCCAACCAGTACACATCACTTTCCCCTGCCCTCTCCACCCGTGCACCAATCAGGGAAGATGGAAACAGAAAATGAGAGGCAAAGGGCAAATTGGATGTGCTAATATTCCCATTTAATAACCCAACAAAGTAGAATTACAGTGGCTTTATATTGGCCAGACTTCCAGGAGTCACTGGAGAGGCAGAGTAGAGTTCATTGTTGGCCAGGCCCTCGTAGACAACAACGGGATCAGCAGTGTCCCTGTTACTTTTATTACTACCATTAACATTGGTGGGATTGGTGGTGTGAAATGGGACACCTCGCTGCCAGCACCTCGCCGCGGGACAGAGATAAATGTCTCCAAGCTCAGAATGGTGTGGGTGTCTCTGTGTCTGTGGAACAATGATGCTTGCTCAGCCCACCATTTGTGGAGTGTGCTGCAACGTGAGACAAGGAAGCCTTCGGAGAAGGATTGCAGGCGGGTTATGCGGAGTCATTGTGCTGGGCTGGACGCTTCAGAGGAAAGACCCTTTGCAGCAATGACTGTTGGGAGCGAGTTGCCCTGTCACCCTCCCTGCTTGCCCCTCTCCCTGCCTGGGAGCCGTCAGGGTCCAACGCAGGACACTGAAGGAGAGCTCCCTCTCCCCAAGCCTAGGCATGATCGGCAGCTCGCCAACTTGGGTGCGGATAAAAGTCCCCAAGCTCGGAATGGTGTGTCTGTGCGTGTAACAATGACTCCCACCTTAGCCCGCCTTTTGCGGGGTGTGTGTATGCCTGGAAAGCGAGGTGAGGAAGCCTTCGGAGAAGGAGTGCAGGCTGGCAGGAACTTTTGCCTCCCTTAAGCTGGGCCAGCTTTGGAAACCAGAGCGGAAGGCCCAGGCTTGCGGTGATTTGTCCCTGTGGCATGTTGTCCGGGGCGAGTTGGTGGGGGCGAGTTGTCATAGACCCTTGGTGTTAGTGGTGGCTTTATTAGCTTTTCCTTAAAAACCGGACATACAAGTCAGTTGATCCTAAAAGAAAAAACCTGATCGAACCCCTCCCCCTTGAGTTGCACTGCTTGGGGCCTAGTGGAGGCAGCGGAGCATCTTGCTCCAGCCCTCAAGTGCCTCCCACATTTAATAGTTGCAGTCAGAAACCCTGGTGCCCAGCAGGGGAGGAAAGGAGAGGCAAGTGGCCTGCAGATCCCACGGCTGAATAACACTGCACTGCAATCAGGAAATGCCAGAGCACATAGGGAACCTTCTGTTCTTAGTTGCAAAACCACAGCTCTCAGAAAGACTGATGGGCACCAGGAATGGGGTCTCACACACACAGGAACAGGTAGTTAACTCAACACAGCGGGTGGGACAAAGAAGCAACAGTAACCTCACCCCTTCGCCCCACAGCAGCACAGAGAGAGAGCAGTGAAGGAGGTACAAGAATCTGGTGAGACAGTGGCTGCTGAAGACCCAGGCTGGCAGGGGGCAGTAGGGTGGGGGGGGGGAGAGAAAGATGGAAGGGGGCCTCTGCCAATTCCTGACTCCTGTGCCCCCTTGATGACTGATGAAAGCAGTGTTGGCAGAGTCCCTTGGAAGAACTAGAAGGGAGATGAGGGGAGGGGAAGCAAATTTGTGCCTGGAGCTGGTCAGTTCTATTTGAGGCAGCGCTCAAAGTAGATGGAACCAATGTAGCCGCCCCGCATCGAGCGCTGGACGTTCTGCTCAAACAGGCGTCTGTTGTTCTGGAGGACTTCAGCAGCCTCTGTATTCAAGGGGTCTTCAGGGTTTGGCTCCTAGAGAGGGAAGAGAACGCCATTAAATGCCAGGGTCTTGTGGCAGTTTAAGGATGAGGACCTTGGATCCTTGGATGAGGAGAAGGAGTCCATTTTAATCAGGCTGTAAGAATAAGTGACAGCATCTTACTCCTTAGATTCTTTATCCCCTAAAAAGTCAATTTTCACCCACTATAATTTTGCCCTCTATTTGCCAACTAGCATAAACACTACTCTGAAAGGAGGGACCCTTCCCAAGTTATTGGGCTGTAAAAGTTAGGTCAGGAGAATTGTACATTGAGACTTGCAAGACTGATGTCAGCCTCACCCGGTAGATCAGACAGGAAGTAATGACACAAACATGCTTTTATTTCATTCGCTATCCTTCTAACCTAGAACACTAGATTCCTCAGGAGCACAATGTGCTTTGCTTTCTGTATCATTTCTCCCCCAATCTTACATTCATTCTTCCTGCTCAGACTGAGAAGGAAGATAGTGCTCCAGCCTTAATGCCATGGCTTTCCACATATACTTACCAAGAAGAGATACTGCAGGCCATAAATTATAGAGTTTATTGTTAGTACAGGCTTCCAGTCCTCTCTGTGGGCCAGAAAAATAATGGAAAAAAATGAGCACAGGGTCAGGAAAGTTTACCCAACTAAATAATAACAAAATAATCTTGTTTTAGATTCACATTGTTAAAAAAAAGCTTTATGAAGATTGATCCAAACTGAAATATGTTTAATATCCCAAATCCTTAAAAAAATGAAGTCAACAGTTCTTAGACCTTTGAAATACCGTGTTTCCCCGAAAATAGGACCTACCACGAAAATAAGCCCTAGCCCGATTTTCACGCCTGTGCCAAATATAAGCCCTACCCTGAAAGTAAGCCCTACTTAAGGGCCTGTGCAGCCGGCCGCCTGCCCATTCTGTCTGCTTGCTGCCGAGATGAGACGGGGGGCCGCAGCCACGAGGCAGGGGGCTTGAGGACAAAGCGAGGCGGGGGTGCGGAGCTGCCCCACCCGCCCAGCACGGGCTGACAGAGGGCCCCGCAGCCAGGCCATCAACGTGCCGACAACTGCCTGGCCTCACAGCGGCGGCTCCAGCAGCCCCATGCAGGATCGCCAGCCTGCTTCTTCTCCTTACTCGCCGCCGCAACGAAGCAGGAGGCTGAGCGATGTACCCGTGCCGTGACCACTAAGCGAGGCGGGGGGGGGTGGAGGATGAAGCCCCAACAGTATCCTTGGCCACCAGGCCTGCAGAGTCCTGATGCTGGCAGAGTGAGGCAGTGGCGGCAGCTGGAGCAGCCTTTCCCATCTCCCCTTGCTTCCCCAAAGAATCCCTTCACTAACCTGCTTTCCAGCTCGTTCTCCGCCAACGTGTGCAGGGCAACAAAAGAAGCCTGTGAGACTACAGGTAAAAAAAAAGTTCACTCAGACCTTCCAACTTTGCAAGATATTTTTTGTTTCGCGAGAAGTTGGAAGGCCGGATTGATCTTTTTTTTTTAGTCCCACAAACTTCTTTTGTTGCCCTACACGCGGAGAACGGAGCTGGAAAGGAGGTTAGTGAAGGAATGTGGTTGCCCTGGGGTGGGGGTTAGGATTTGGCATTGTGGATGCCCTGGGGTGGGGTGGGGGTTAGGATCTTCACCCCCACCCCACCCTAGGGCATCCACAATGCCAAATCCTAACCCCCCACCCCACCCCAAGGCATCCACAATGTCAAATCCTAACCCCTACCCCACCCTAGGGCATCCACAGGTGGCGAGGCAGGTGGCAGGACGTGTGTGGCCTGTCTGCGGGGGCCCTGAGGTAGCCCCACCTGTCTTGCTTCAATTCGTGGCGGTGGCACCGGCACGACGTGTGCTCTCCTGCCCCGTTGCGGCAGCGAGCAACCAGACGGTGGGATGGAGTGGGCAGGCTCTTTACTAGGGCTTATTTTGGGGGTAGAACACATATTAGGTCAGGGCTTTTCAACCGGTGGTACGCATACCACTTGTGGTACATTAATGAGTGGCAGGTGGTACACAGCCCTGCCTAGCCAAGTGTAGTGGGGGAGGGAAAGAGCCAGCACAGGCAAGGACTTACAGTGAGAGAGTCCTCTGGAGCTGCAAAGGCCCCAGGCTCACTTCTGGCTCACCCTCCCCCATGAGAAAGGAGGAGGGGGGTGGAGACAGGAGAGCCTATAAAAGGAGGCAGTTTGGGCAGGAGAGGGAGAGAGAAAAAAGCAGCAGCCTTGGGAGGAGGCAGAGTCAGCTGCACCGAAGGGGAAGAAGGAGGAGCAGGAGGGGGAGGGTGGGGGGAGAGGAGATCAAGCAGGCTGGCCATGAGCCGATCTACAACTGCTGTGGCAGCCACCTGTGCTGGCAGCAGCAAACAGGCAAGAAATGCAGCAGGGAGGGGCCACCCTTCAAGAGGAATGAAAAAAGGCAGCAATGGCTGGATGTGAGGCACGGAGGAGGGAAGGAGATGGAGAGTGGAAGGATTCTTATGTGCTTTTGTGACTTTGAAGTTCTGGGATTTGTGCAATGAGGGCTTTGTGTTCTTAAGGAGTGTTTGGCAATGTGTTCTTAAGGAGTGTTTGGCAAGTGTTTGGCTGATGGCTGATGTCTCCTGTTAGCTTCTATTGCTCTGCTGTTGTTAGCTGTAAGTTTTGCTGCAAGGGATTTTGAAGTATTTTTCTCCTGAATGGATTTTGCCTGTAGCATTCCTTTACTTATGAATGGAGCCATTTGGGGAGGTTGCCTTAGCCGGCAGCCAGTACTTAATTTTTTTTTTCTTCCTTAAGTGCCAGCTGTGCTCCTTACTTTCCTTTCTAGCCAGTAGCTAATTCTTAAAGGGGAATGTGCCTTTTTAAGCTAGTTCACTCAGCAGCTTGTCTTTTCTGTCTCTGGAGGCCTTTCCCTGTTTGATCAATATATGGAAGAGGGAAAATATGGGGGGTGGTGGTGTTCAAATTCTTCCTTCAGAAGGAGATGGGAATGAGAAAAAGGGAGGCAGGGAAGGGAGGGAGGAAAGGAAGTCCCGCCTTAGCACTTGGCCACCAGCAGCTCTGCCATTGACTTTGCTTGTCAAAAGGTTGCAGAAGGGGATCACATGACCCTGGAACACTGTGACCATTATAAATATGAATCGGTTGCCAAGCATCCAAATATAAATCACATGACCCTGGGCATGCTGCAATGGTCATAAGTGTGAAATATGGTCATAAGTCATTTCAGTACAATTGCAACTTTGAACAGGTTTTTTTTTTGGTCATCAAGTTTTTGACACCTTGCTAGGTGGTACTCGAATATTGCCATATCCTAAAAGTGGTACAATCAGTAAAAAGGTTGAAAAGCCCTGTATTAGGTGCACGGGTAAAAAACATCCTAGGGTTTATTTCTTGGTTGGGTCTTATTTTCAGGGAAACACAGTAATTAAATTGTGGTAAACTGTAGAACTTACAGTAAAGTTTTATGTCTTTGCCTTAAGATGGTAAGAAACTGTGCCACCAATTTTCAGCAATGGTCAAAGGAGACTCTAGGGGCCAAAGAGAAAGAGTTCATAGGCAAAGGTTTGCCTGCTCCTTATTTCCTATGATCTGTGAATCATGCTTTATTCAGTAAATGTAGTTGAGCAGTCAGTGAATACACGTTTATACAAGCATTTCGCTCACTTCAAAACAAAAATATTTTATAAGTTGATACTTTAAGAACAATATTTGTTCTTAAAACTTGCTCTAATCCTGCAAGGAAGAAAATAGGAATGAAAAGAGAATGTACAGGTAGTCCTCAACTTACAGTTCATTTAGTGACCGTTCAAAGTTACAACGGCACTGAAAATAGTGACTTATAAACGTTTTTCACACTTACGACTGTTGCAGCATCCCCCTGGTCACATGATTAAAATTCAGATGCTTGGCAAGTGGTTCATATTTATGACGGTTGCAGTGTCCTGGGGTCACATGATCCCTTCTTGCAATCTTCTGACTAGCAAAGTCAATGGGGAATCCAGATTCACTTAACAACCATGTTACTAACTTAACAAATGCAATGATTCACTTTAATAACTGTGGCAAGAAAAGTCGTAAAATGGGGCATTCATTTAACAAATGTTTCACTTAGCAACATAAATTTTGGGCTCAATTATGGTCGTAACTCGAGGACTACCTGTATTAGAACAACAGAACATGCTTTGTACCTGAGGATATTTAGGCAAACATTGCCTTCTAAATCTATGTTTGGGTGATATACCATAGTTTCACATTTGACTTTTGGGGGGTCATGCGGGTAACCTTGCCCCACCTGCAAATAAAACACAAAACAGAAAGACACACTCAGTTTTTTCATGTTCATTATGGTCCATTCAATATTCCACCGAAAAATATGGGGCCATCCACATAGCGATCTAAGGCTTTCCCATTCTTCACTAATTTCCTGCCAGTAGATTTTGGGTTTTGCCATATCTCAATGGTTGTTAATAATAATAATAATAATAATAATAATAATAATAATAATAACAACAACAACAACAACAACAACAATAATAATAAAGTTGGAAGGGACCTTGGAGGTCATCAAGTCCAACCCCCTGCTCAGGCAGGTAACCCTATACCATTTCGGACAAATGGCTGTCCAGTTTCTTCTTAAAAACCTCCAGTGTTGGAGCATTCACCGCTTCTGGAGGCAGGTTGTTCCACTGGTTAATTGTTCTAACTGTCAGGAAGTTTCTCCTTAGTTCTAGGTTGCTTCTCTCCTTGATTAGTTTCCATCCGTTGCTTCTTGTCCTGCCTTCAGGCGCTTTGGAAAATAGCTTGACTCCCTCTTCTTTATGGCAGCCCCTGAGATATTGGAACACTGCTATCATGTCCCCCCTCGTCCTTCTCTTCGTTAAACTAGACATACCCAATTCCATCAACCTTTCCTTATATGTTTTAACCTCCAGTCCCCTAATCATCTTTGTTGCTCTTCTCTGTACTCTTTCTGGAGTCTCAACATCTTTTTTACATCGTGGTGACCAAAACTGGATGCAGTATTCCAAGTGTGGCCTTACCAAGGCATTGTAGAGTGGTATTAATACTTCCCGTGATCTTGATTCTATCCCTCTGTTAATGCAGCCTAGCACTGTGTTGGCTTTTTTGGCAGCTGCAGCACACTGCTGGCTGTTATTGTTGTTCAGTTGCTAAGTCATGTCCGACTCTTCGCAACCCCATGGACCATAGCACACCAGGCCCCCCTGTCCTCCACTGCCTCTGGGAGTTTGCCCAAACTCATGTTCATCTCAATGGTACAAAAGATAAATTATATTTTGAAGTATACAATGCCCCAAACTAGAATGGGGAAACAGGCGAGGAATTCTGTCTTCTCCATCAATGTGTACAATGTAATGTGTCCAGATAATTGATGTCCACTATTCAATCTTGGGAAGATTTCAAAATGCGAAGTATTTGTTTGCATCGCTGTTTCAATTACATTGTTTTATTTTAAGAACTTGATTGTAAAGCAATATGAAAACAGTTGCTACAACTTGAGTTGCTGAGATTATGAGCTCCAAGTCCTTATGAGTACAAACACTGACAAGGATCCAAATGACAACCATAGAGTAAAATAATGAACCATGCATACTACTCTGAAAATTTGGAAGGATGCAATAAAAATGAAATGTTTCAAAGACAGTAGCTTTTTTGCATCACGCCTTAGTGCTAAAAGCAGGAATCTTAAATACAGGTAGTCTTCAAGTTATGAGTGTAATGGAGCCTGCATATTCCACTCGTAACTCAAAAACTTGTGGGAGTGAATCTCGTACCTTGAACGAGAAAACTCCCTGCTCATTAAAACGCACGTGGCTCATTAAGTGCACATGAGCCATCTCAGGGTGGGGAGGAAAAAGTATATGAACCGTTGGACTTAATAACTGGTTGACCCTCCTTTGGCAGCAATAACCTCAACCAAACGTTTCCTGTAGTTGCAGATCAGACCTGCACAACGATCTGGAGTAATTTTGGACCACTCCTCTTCACAAAACTGTTTCAGTGTAGCAATATTCTTGGGATGTCTGGTGTGAATCGCTCTCTTAAGGTCATGCCACAACATNAAGATAGCATCTTTCACATCAGCCTTAACATTTTCCAGACTCTCACTTACTTCTGCTCTTTGTTCGTTTCCCTCCACCCTTTTTGCCAGTGCATCTACATATTCAACCAAACCTTGAAAAGCAATTGTCACGTTCAAACAAAAGCCCTCCTGTTTCCGTGATAAGTCTTGTTGTTGTTGTAATAAGTCCTTTTGTTGTTATAATAGTTGGTCAAATCTAGTTTGCATTTTAACATCCATCGCTTGAAACATCTCAATCATCTGTTTAGTAAATACAGACATCAAGTCCTGCAACTCTCTACCAGAGGGCGGTGGAAGTAGGGAAGATAGCGGAGGTGGGGGGTGGGAGATCATTCGCTATCCTTCTAACCTAGAACACTAGATTCCTCAGGAGCACACTGTGCTTTGCTTTCTGTACCATTTCTCCCCCAATCTTACATTCATTCTTCCTGCTCAGACTGAGAAGGAAGATAGTGCTCCAGCCTTAATGCCATGGCTTTCCACATATACTTACCAAGAAGAGATACTGGAGGCCATAAATTATAGAGTTTATTGTTAGTAAAAGCTTCCAGTCCTCTCTGTGGGCCAGAAAAATAATGAAAAAAATGAGCACAGGGTCAGGAAAGTTTACCCAACTAAATAATAACAAAATAATCTTGTTTTAGATTCACATTGTTAAAAAAAAGCTTTTATGAAGATTGATCCAAACTGAAATATGTTTAATATTCCAAATCCTTAAAAAAATGAAGTCAACAGTTCTTAGACCTTTGAAATACCGTGTTTCCCCGAAAATAGGACCTACCACGAAAATAAGCCCTAGCCCGATTTTCACACCTGTGCCAAATATAAGCCCTACCCTGAAAGTAAGCCCTACTTAAGGGCCTGTGCAGCTGGCCACCTGCCCATTCTGTCTGCTTGCTGCCTAGATGAGATGGGGGGGCGTAGCCACGAGGCGAGGCGGTTGAGGACAAAGCGAGGCGGGGTTGCGGAGCTGCCCCACCCGCCCAGCACGGGTTGACAGAGGGCCCCGCAGCCAGGCCATCAACGTGCCGACAACTGCCTGGCCTCGCAGCGGCGGCCCCTGCAGCCCCATGCAGGATCGCCAGCCTGCTTCTTCTCCTTACTCGCCACCGCAACGAAGCAGGAGGCTAAGCGATGTACCCGTGCCGTGACCACTAAGCGAGGCGGTGGGGGGTGTGGAGGATGAAGCCCCAACAGTATCCTTGGCCACCAGGCCTGCAGAGTCCTGATGCTGGCAGAGTGAGGCAGCGACGGCGGCCGGAGCAGCCCCTTTCCCATCTCCCCTCACTTCCCCAAAGAATCCCTTCACTAACCTGCTTTCCAGCTCGTTCTCCGCCACCGCGTGCAGGGCAACAAAAGAATCATGTGAGACTACCGGTAAAAAAAAAGTTCACTCAGACCTTCCAACTTTGCAAGATATTTTTTGTTTCGCGAGAAGTTGGAAGGTCGGATTGATCTTTTTTTTTTTTAGTCCCACAAACTTCTTTTGTTGCCCTACATGCGGAGAACGGAGCTGGAAAGGAGGTTTTCCTTATCGCCCTTTTAATTATGAAGACATAACAGGATTTTTTTAAAAAAACAAAACAAAACAAATATGTTCAACATTATAAATACTTAAAGTCAGCAGTGTTCAGAAACACACCCACTAGAATGGAAGACTACCTTCCCTAATCCATATTGGCTATGGCTGAGGGCAGTTCCAGTTCAATACATCCTAAGGGCACCAGGTTTGATATGATTACTGCAAGCTCTCTTCCACTCCTTAATGTAGCTAGATTCATAAACACAAAACTGTAATGGACTGTTTGGTTTTGTCTGTGTTACATGAATACAACCAACATAATTTATGGCTTAGCACAAAAGTCAACTATTTTTGAAATCTGGCAGTCACACTTAACATTTTGTGTGCAAACCAAGGGCCACAATGTATGGGCAGTGATGCAAAGTGGGTGGTGATAATTTTTTCTTTGTGTTGGAAGGATTGTTACTGTGTTTCCCCGAAAATAAGACTGGGTCTTATATTTTTTTTTGACCAAAGGACCCATTAGGGCTTATTTTCAGGGGATGTCTTATTTTGCCTGCCTGCCCACTCCATCCCACCATCTGGTTGCTCACAGCTGCAACAGGGCAGGAGAGGGCACGTTGCACCGGTGCTGCCTCCACGAGTTGAGGCGAGGCAGGTGTGAGTGGTGGAGCTGCCCCATGTGCCCCACACCCACTTACCGCAGGACCCACGCAGCCAGGCCACCCACGCCCTGCCACCTGCTTCACGTCGCGGTGGTAGGACCAGTGGCAGCAGCAGCCCCATCCATCAGGAGCCCGCCCACTTTCCTGGTTGCTCACAGTCACAATGGGGTAGAAGAGTGCTCATTGCACCAGTGCTGCCACGAGGTGAGGTGAGGTGGGTGGGTGGAGCTACCCAACAGGCCCCCGCAGCCAGGCCACTCCCCACTCGACAACCTCCCCTCACCCATTTAATGACCAGGCTGCCTGCCCATCTCTTCCCTTTTACTCCTCCCTCGTTGGACTGCCATGCTATGGAGGATGGGCGGGGGAGGCTCGGTCCCCTTACCGGGTTCCCCTCCGGCGTTTCAGAGCCAGGGCGGAGTGACGGCGAAAGTGTCCAGCACCGCTGCGCAACAGTCGCGTCTGCCACTGGAGGGGCTTTCTTCAGTCCCGGCCACCCCCGCTTCACCCCGCAGATCACCTGCCTGGAGGCAGCCTCCTCCTCCACCACCTCTCTTGTGGCTTGCACTGACTGGGCAGCGCAAGCCTCCCCTGCTGCCTCCCTCCGGGTGTCTGGCAGGCAGGGGGAAAGGCTTGCGCCGCCTGGTCCTTTGGCTGCCCCCGTCTGTCCATGCTGCTCTCCTCGCCCTCACCTCCCGAGTGTCTGCCCTGGGAAGCCCTGTATGCCGTTGTGGCCACGGGCAAGCAAACAGTGGGAGGGAGCTGGCGGGTGGCTTTGGCGGTTGTCTGGCAGGCAGAGGGAGGCGGCAGGAGAGGTTTGTGCCGCTCGGTCATGGCGCAAGCCACGGGAGAGTTGGCACTTGAAGTCACAGCAGAGCGGTCTTCAGAGCGCCCCCCGCCACCAGCCCTGGTATAACTCTCCTGTGGCTGTGTGGGCACAGCCACAAAGGGGGCCGTTGGCCGAAACCGCCAGCCCAGGGACGATGCAGAGAGCCTACCACCGGCCTCCAGAGCTGTCATTGAAACCATACAATACAGGTGGCGAATGGGGAACAGGCAAAGCGACGCAGGACCCAAGCAGCAAGTGGAGGAGGAGGTGGCGGCCGCTGCCAGGCATGACATTTGTGGGCTGGGGTGGAGCCGGCGGGGACCGAAGGAAACCCCTCTCATTGGCAGACGCTACCCCCACCCCACCCCAGGGCATCCATAATGCCAAATCCTAACCTCCACTAAGGTCTGGTTGGTTTAGCCGCTAGGCGCCACGCCTGCGAGCCCCGCAATACCCACGCTCGCCTCCTACACTGCCTTGGGTGCTGGAGCCCTTGTCAAGCCAGGCAGAGAAGCGCCTAGCTGGCCTCTCCCCTTCCTCGCTGAGCCCCAGACTCTCGTAAGCGGGCATGGCTATGGGTTCCCTCCCTCGTGGCGACCCTTGTGGCCTGCAGGAGCCTCCCTGCCTGCCAGATCTCTGCCGGAGTGCACCCAGCAAGTGAGGGCCGCAGGGTGGCCAGTGCATCAAGCTCTCTAAGCTCTGTGGCGCAATTGGTGAGATCCGCGTGGGCTCAGTGCTCCAGCAAGCGGCGGGGCAGGGCTGTGCTCACTTGTGAGAGGGGCTGAGGCTCGGCATGGAAAGGGAGAGCCTGGCCCGGCAGTTCTCCACCTGGCTGGACAAGGGCTCTGGCTCCCAAGGCAGTGCAGGAGGTGAGCATGGGCAGTGCGGGGCTCGCAGGCATGGCGCCTTGTGGCTGCACTGACCTGGCCCGCTGAGAGTGCTGAGGCATTCCCGTCAACAGCGCTGCTGCTTCGGCTGTTTAGGAACTCTTGCTGAAAATACGCAGAGGACGCATGTGTCACCCAGGCTGGGATGAAACAAAGCCTGCAGGAATGCGATAGATCTTGCATTCTTTGCATCTTGCAAAGAAAATCTCTTACAGAGCCCCAGTTGAGAAAGGTTGGTCAAGATATGCTTGAAGTGTATTGCTGTTCCTTCCAATATAATTATATTTGTGTTTGTTGCTTACATGAACAGAGATGTTCTCCAGTACGGGAGATGGAGAATTCACCAATGGGTTTTCATTGTCTGCCTGCTCTTGAGACCAAGTAGTCAAACTTGACACGCCCCCTCTTGCTGGCCCAGTCTTTAACTTGGTCTCAGCTCTTGACGACGTGTCAGGTTTGGCTCTCAGTCAATAGCAGGTTAGCAAGTCTTTGGTGAATTCTCCTTTTCCCTCAAAAATCCTTTCTAACAATCTTAATTACCAATTTGATTTCCCCTTTTAAAAAATTTCTTAGCACTGGGATCAGTGCTAGCTTAAATTCACCCTTGAGGGAGGTAAGGGAGTGGGGGGGGGAATCCCTTCCCGATTCTTCTATTTTCTCCCCAGGGCTCTGGGGGGGAGGAAAGCTCCCTAACAGACCACATTTGGAAAGAACGACTGTTCTTTCCCTTTTCTGGCATACGATTGCTCCTCAGCCTGTGGTGCTGCATTGGGAGCATTTTCAGCCCTCCGGCCTCGTTCTCGGCCGTTTGGAGCGATCGCGGACGCCATTTTGGTTGCTGAAAAAGGCAACGAAGCTTATTTTGGCTTTTTCCTCCCTGGCGATCGGAAACAGGGTCGAAGGGGGAAATTTCGTTATCGCTCTCAGCGCGGCTCTGGCAATCAATCCGGCCATCTGGAGATCGTTAATTGAGCCCGCGGAGCCGGTTTTACTAACGGAACGAGCTGCGGCCGCCATTTTAAGGCCGATGTTAGGGGCGAGGAGCTGCGAAGGCCTACTTTAATTGATTAACTCTCTAGCTTCCCAGGTCATTATTAAATAGGTCAATTATTGACGGCCGCCATTTTGAACGCCACGTGGCAGCTCCTTTAGGCCCAAAAGGGCGGATCCTCATTAGCTGTCCTCTTTCAGGCCACATTTGGCGTGCATATATTAATCATTACATAGCCTTACAATATATATACAACTTGAGTAGCCTCCAATTGATTTGATCCTTGCCAGAACCTATTGTCCTTTCAAGCCTCTGCGCCCTTATTGGGGATATTTCTTCACTGGTGCACATTGCCTGGCCACCTAAGGCCTCCGGGGCGGAGCCCAGGGTGTGGTTCCAACCGTGCCTTCGGTGCCTAACTCAAGGGCCGTGACCATTGCCCAGAGAGAAACCTAATTTTTGGGTCAGGTGGTCAGGGGAACAGCCACTTTTTGTTCCAATTCCGCCTTCCGCCAGCTACTTGCCTGCCAGAGCGTCACCTCAGCCCGTCTGAGACTGCTCCACTGGGATGGAAGGCTCTTCATTGCCTCAATCTACTCCATCTTCCAGTCACGGCTGCAATATATCCTCTGGACAGGGGACGGCAGGCAAGGCAAAAGCTAAAACTAAACACACGCTCAAGAAGCCTTCTAAGCTGGCGGAGAAGCAAGCCAGCCGTAGACACCAGGCTCTGGAGAAGGAGTTTTCCAGAGTGCAGAGGCAGGCCGGGCTAGATTCAAGGCAGTTGGAGGATGCAGAAATTGACCTTCCCTTAGGACCATCTACTTCTGCCCAGGGCGTATGGTCTATTCCGGGAACTCCAGTTAACATAGGTTTTCCCCCCACTGTGGTTCAACACTCTGCAATACCCCCAGGTTCAGTTTCAGAGACCACAGTTACGCCCACGACTACGGGTCTCAGGGGGGCGGACTTGGGAGACATCTTTTCCGATGGGCGCCTTGAGGCCTTGTTATCCAAGGTGGTGGATAGGGCCTTAGCCCAACGCTCGCTTCACTCACCTGACCAAGGGGCTTCCACCTCAGTCATGCCCCCTTATGAGATTCCCGCAGAGTTTCCCAAGAATGTGCAGGAGCCTATGTCTCCTGCACATTCTTCGATGAGTGGTTACTCTTCTCCTCAAGGTGGGGAGCAACCGGATCTTCTGCTCTCGGAGGATGAGGAACTTCCCCCTGAACCCTCCACTTCGGGGGGTCTCTTTAATTCGGCTCATTTCTTGTCAATACTTCGTAAGGCTACAGCGACCGCAAACATAGGGTTAGATCAATTCCCTCAGCCGCAAGTCGCGTCAGATACCGACCCTCACCCAATATTCTTTGAGACAGTGGCTACTGAACATCATGTTCCATATCCTTCCATCTTCCTTAAAGGGATTAAGAAGCCATGGGCTTCCCCGGCCTCATTTCCTTCCGTTAGTGGGATTGACAGAAAGTTATTCAGCACCTCCACTGATCTCAGTGATGCGCTGGAGGTCCCTAAGGTAGACGAGGCTTGGACCCCTCTGGTATCCCAAACGGCGGTCGCTGGGGACTTAACACAGGCGCTTAAAGCGGACGACAAAAAATGGGAGCATACATTCAGAAAAACACATCAATCAGCGGCCTGGGCAATTAAAACGGCCAGCTGCGCATCCTTTTTTGTCAGGACCACACTTCTTTGGCTGCGTCAGCTTCAGGCCAGGGTCCCCGCCAAGGACTTGCGTACTCATCAGGACCTAAGCAAAATGGTGGCGGCCACTGAGTACGCTGCAGACGCATCACTTCAGTCTGCCGTTTTTGCCTCCAGGTCCTTGGCTTCTAACATCACGGCCAGAAGGATGTTATGGCTGAAACATTGGCAGGCTGATACCAGACTTAAATGGAGTCTTGCGTCTGCCCCTTCCCTGGGCAATAACTTATTTGGGGAGTCACTCGCCCCGTATCTTGTGGAGAACAAAGATAAGCGCAAGGTCATGGCCCATATACTTAAGAAGTCCGACAAGTGTCCCAACCCCTACTTTCGTAGGCAGTCCTTTCGACAGGCAGCGGGTGTATCAGCCACCCAGACTTCCCGCTCTTATACTCCCAGAGAGAGGCCGTACGACCGTCCTTACGACAGAACAGGGTTTAGACCTAGGCAGCAGGGACAGACTAAACGGCCATTTCGAGGGGCAGGCCGTCCATATAGAAAGTTCAAATGACTCACACACGTCCCTTCACATTGGGGGGAGGCTGGCCCACTTCTTCCATCAGTGGGAACTCTCCTCCATGGACAACTGGGTCCTGCAATCCATCCAGTACAGCCTGTCCCTGGAGTTTCTAGCCAAACCCCCGGAACGACTCATTCTTTGTTCCGTTTCCAGGAACCCGCAGAAACGGGAACTTATGCAGGAGGCCATCCAACATCTTTTAGAGATTCAGGCAATAGAACCGGTTCCAAAAGACCACAGGGGAAAGGGGTTTTACTCCACCCTTTTTGTAGTACCCAAAACCTCAGGAGGGTGGAGAGCTATTCTGGACCTCAAGCATCTCAATCATTACATCACTTACAAAAAGTTCAAGATGCAATCTCTCCAGTCCATACTGGGAGGGATCAGACAGGGGGATTTTTTAGCTTCAATACACCTCACAGAGGCTTACCTTCACATCCCCATTCATCCAGCTCACCGCCGGTTCCTGAGATTTTGTTACAAGGGCAAACACTTTCAATACAGGGCCCTCCCCTTCGGTCTTTCGTCGGCACCCAGGGTATTCACAAAAATCCTGGCCGTACTGGCCGCTCAGTTGAGGAAGGTTCCCATTCGCGTCCAGTGCTACCTGGACGACATCCTGATTCAGGCGTCATCCTTCCAGGCTGCTCAGCAGGACGTGAGACACACCATCCAGGTACTTCAACTACACGGCTTCTCGGTCAATTTCCAAAAAAGCCAGATGGTTCCCTCGTCCAGACTCTTGCACCTGGGGGCCGTGATAGACACCTCCAATTGCATGGTCTACCTCTCCCAGGAGCGAGTAGTCAGCATCAGGGAGCTGGCTCACCGGGTGTACAGGGAACGCTCTGTCCCATTACTCCTACTGTCTCAACTATTAGGGAAGATGGTCTCCTGCATAGCCATTGTTCCCTGGGCCAGACTCCACTTGCGGGACCTCCAGTGGTTCCTGCTCCCATTCCAACGTACAAACACCAGTGCATCCAGCCGCCAGGTCAGAGTTCCGGTTCACGTTCGCAAAGCACTCCGCTGGTGGTTCTCGCGAGCTGTAACCAAGGGGTCACCCTTCAAGGAACCGGACCGCATCACCATCACTACGGACGCCAGTCTGTTTGGATGGGGGGCCCATCTGCAGTCTCAGTTTATTCCAGCTTGCGGGACTGGCCTAGGGGAAACTTTTAGAGGGGGTTTTAATTATAATTTTAATTAGACCAATTACTAATATTTCCCTTTTAATTAACTTTTTAAATTTGTAGTGTGATATTTTTGTATTTTTATCCGGTTGTTAGCCGCCCTGAGTCCGCAAGGAGAAGGGCGGGATATAAATCTAATAAATAAATAAATAAATAAATAAATAAATAAGTTTGCGCAAGGCCGCTGGTCACGCGCAGACTTGAGACACAACATAAATTGGCTGGAGCTCAGGGCCATACACCTGGCTCTACGC